GCCTCCCTCCCTGATACCGCAGGTGAGCATCCCTCACCCTGCCTCTCCTCCCCGGGGCTTTCTGCCGGCTCAGCCCCTTGCAGCAGCCGGGAGCTGAAGAGTTTTGCAGAGTCTCAGCCCAGTGCAAGGATTGTGATAGAAAAGCACTGCCCCAGGTCCTGTTTAATAATCACACCTGAGCCACAAGCAATGTCATTTAAAAAGCAACCGAATGAGTTGTCCAGCCCTTGAACATTGAGGGGTGAGATGAGAGCGTTAAATCAGAACCTGGCTCTAGCTGTAACATCTGGTGGTCGTGACGTGTGAAGTGTCCCCGTGTCCTGAGCTGAGGACAGCAGCGTGCCCTGGGCTGCCCAAAGCACACGGGGGTGGGTGGGTGGCACCTCCCAAGCCAGGGGAGCTGGCAGGGTGGCCCTGGGGACCCTGCCAACCAGCTGCTGTCCCTCCTCTCTCCGCAGGCGAGGCCCAGCCCCGCAAGCTGCAGCCCTTCCCCATTCCCCCCGCCCGCTGCTACACCTACAGTTGGGACCAGGACAACTTTGGTGAGTCAAGGCTCTGGCCCAGCTCCCAGCTGGGCCGTGGGGCAGTTTTGGAGAAGTGGAAGGTTCCCCTTGTGCGGAGCTGGTGCTTCCCCATTCCTGGAAGGAGCTTGCCAGTTCTTGGGAAGGCTCTGTGCCCTTCCCTGCTGGCCCCAGCGAGGGGGAGCAGAGCTCAAGGCCAGCCCTGACAGGGAGCCAGGGTGGGTCAGGGGGATTTGGTCAGCCTAAGGCTTGGCTTGGCTGCGATTAAACCCGATCAGACGTGAGGATGTGGTGGAAGCTGGGTGGGAAGAAGCAAAAGCCAGACTGGAGTTTGCCTTTTGAGAACCCAGCCAGAATCTTGAGGAGAGAAACACAATTTTCTTTGCATTACATCTGAGCCTTTACTGTAAATGTAAAACCACTGGGGAGGAGGTTTCCAGTCCCTTGCCTGACACCAGGGTGCAGGAGAGCTTTGGCCAGGGGGAGTGGCAGTGGTGTCTGGGCTCACCACGTTTGCAGGGGCTCTGCTGGAGCCCATGGCTGACACCTCCTCCCTCCGGTCGCTTTCAGACATCCTCAACGATGTCCTCAGCAAGGAGTGCAGCGTTGCCGAGCCCCTGGCCTCGGAGAACGAGGAGGAGGATGAGGACGAAGAGGAGGAGGAGGATGTGGAGACGGACGGCGGCTCCCCGGGGCAGGACTCGCTGCTGGCGCCGCTCTGTGCCCTCCCCGGTGACTCCGTGTACTCCGTGCTGGCCGAGGAGGGCTCCAGGCCCCCGCGGGTGTCCCTGTTCGCCTCCCCCAAGGAGTCCATCTCGGAGCTGACCGTGGTCTCCAGGAAGTCCCTCAAGTCCTTCGTGTCCAGCC